AAGCTTTTCTTCAAAAAAACAAAACAACCCTCAGTGAAAATAAGAAACGCTCTGATAAAGAACATTAAAAGAAAGCCAGGTGCACAAAACCGGTGGTGTTCATAGTGCTTTTGAAGTCTTCGGTGCGAACTGTGTTGCATTTTAAGCTCTTTGCAGATACCCGGAATTGCTTTCCAAAACCATATCCTTGCAAGAGCAAGCTCAACAGCTAACAGGATGTTTATTCATGAAAACCCACAGCAAAACATTTAAAGAGCACATAATGGCACTGCTTTCGTTTGTGCCAAAACCCACACAAAGCCAAGGGAAAAGGTGAACCCTACAGGATACAGATATGCACTCACGATGACGCAGTTCTTGCCTATGTGGACGTACGACCCAATCTGCGCTGCGTTGACCACACAGTCCTCCTCGATGAACACGTGGTCCCCGATGTGAAGGGGGAAGAAGGCCACTCTGCAGGGAGGAAGCACACGCAACACAGGTCATGGGGAGACATGTCTCCGGCTCCATCAACAGAAAATGTCAGATTTTTTTCCCCATCATCTCTGTTTTTAATATTGATTTATGGAGATTTTAAAAAAACAATAAGAGTAGTTTAATCTTGGCTGTGGAGATGTCCTGATTGTACATTTTTGAAGGTGTTATCTTATAGCAATGGTTAGTATTCTGACTGTTGATGCAATTAAGTAATTTCAGTTGAAAACAAAAATTAATGGATTACTAGAAACTTAAGAGGTTTGTGTAAATTGCGAAACACACACCACAATAAACATATCAATGACGATTCTTACACATCATACGTGAATGGAGGCAGAAACATGATGGAAAACGTGAGGGTTAGTAGGGCAGTGGCTGGCTGCTGTCAGAACCAGAATCGGGACTGTCTGACTCACCACAAGGCACGAGGGCCCATGCAGTCACCTTTTTGGAGACTTATCCACTGCTCTCCACTCAACACAGTGGTTAGCACTGCTGTGCTGTGCACTGGGGCCAAGGGGCTCAATTCCAGACCTGTCTGTGCGCAGTTTGTGTATTCTCTTTGTGTTTGTGGGGGTTTCCTCGCACTGTCCAAAACTATGCTGGTAGGTTAATTGGCTTCTGGGAGAACTGGCCCTGGTCTGAGTGTGTGCAAGCTTGTGTTTGTGTCTGCCCTGTGATGGCCTGGCTTCCTGTCCAGTGTGTATCCTGCCTTGTGCCCTTACTTTATCGGGTTAGGCTCCAGCTTCCCCTGAACCTTAATTGGTTGAAGCAGTTCGAAAATGGATGGGTGGATACTCTTCCTGAATACCAAGTTCAGGAACAGGCAGGTGTGAGACAGGAAATGCCCAGGCCACCTGGTCTGCTCCAGTATTTCTGCAGTCAGTCTTGCTTATGGATTATGTATTCCAGCACATCAGTCTGGGGTGAGATCGTGGCTGATGGAAGTAAAACTCTCAGATTCTCATCACTGAGTGCTGATTTCACAGTCCACTCTTACCTGGCAACAGACAGATGTCTGGGCCATTATAATAGGAGCAGAGCTCAGCGTGGACACATAGCGTGTTTCTGAGTTGAGAGCTCTTCAGTCCCACTGAGACAGAATAGGCTGACACAGTAACCAACTAAACTCACCCCAGATGTGCAGTACACTGCTGATATAGTCTTACACGTCATCATTCTGTTTTACCAATATACCATAAGCCATAAATAAAGAACACATCGCATTCTACTGCTGGTATAAAGCAGAGTTCTGAGCTTTGCATGAGCTGCATAATCATGTAACTCAGGAGCTAAACTATAAGCTGAAGTTGTAGATGTCTAAGTATGAACAACTTTCTACAAGTTACAAACACCATGTGTTGGAAGTAAGGTCATATGCAGCACATGAGGTGAGTAGCAGTAGTTTATAACAAACAACACAGGTGTCCAGTGCCACTACCTTACACACAAACTTTATGCAGACTCTTTACAGTATGTAGTCTAGTGAAGCTCTGCTGCATTGCACGCTCACTCAATCTGTTAGTGTAGCATTTTCATCACACGGGCATCTGTCTTGTCCATGAACAGCACTGCTGTTGCATCTGTAGCTAGGATAGCTCCCTAATTTTTACTCCAGGTGTATATTTTCAAAAACTGCGTTAGCAAGATCTCGTTCAGGAGATTTATACAATTCCAGTTACCATTTTACAAAATGGATATTGCTTCTCTGGAGAAAGATCAAACAGAATTCAACTAGAACAATTCCAGGATTAACCAGAATGTGGTACACACACAGGTTAAAGGAGGTGTATCTCTTTAGTGTTTAACTGAGGGACTTAGGAGGGAACTTGATACAAGTATTCAAAAATCCTGAAAGGTACTGACAAACGCCAGCCTTTCCTCTGAGTCTTATACAATTAATTATTTACCGAGTCACAAATATCAGTATACAGGATGTCTTTATTGTGCAACACTACAGTTCTCACTGTTCTGAGTCTTGGGTACAACAGTGTCATTTGACAACTTCAGCATAACAGCCAGTTCCATTAAACAAGAGATGTTTGATGCAATAATAATTGCACTGAACAATTGCAAAAATAATATCTGCAGTACAAACAGTTCAGTCCAGAGGCAACCCTCTGATCCAACCCTCTTCCCTCATTGTCTTGTGATTCTCTGTTTTGTCGAGTTAACAAATGTGTATATTAAAAGTCCAAGGAGCCTCTTGTTCAGCACAATCCCAGCAGGCTCTGGGTCCTACAGCGCTGCTCTTTCGATTCTGGGGACATTCCTCAGAACGCCAAGAACAGGCTTCAGGAAGCAGAGTTTTGGGTTGGCAAGAGCCCTCCTTATCACCCTGAGAGAAAAGGACAAGGTATTCCCGATAGTGGAATGACTCATTATTTTTATCAACGTAACAACACTTTCTATTTATAGATCAGGGGGAAAAGCCGAGAAAGTTATATCTCGGACCAGGCAGGTGCCTTTTTTTAACAAAGCCACTTAAGATGTTTGCCCATTCAGATTTTTTAGTCTTATACTCCCCTCTCACACACGCCGATCACATTATTTAAGATGACCTGTAGTCATTTTTGTGTTCGTGTGTTCCCACGGTACATTGTTAATAATACTACACGGGGTAGGACATTTCCAGAAAACTCTCCCACTCTGTTTCTAACCTAATACCAACAACAAGACTGCATTCACACAGGAAATTCATACAATTCATACAATACATTCATTCACACATTCATAACAAGAAATCTAGACAAGAGCCATTTTTGAAACATATTTAAATGAAGTGAGGTTATTAGGCTTTCTTACCAATGCTTCAAGTATCTCACCTCCAGTCTAAGTAGACAATACCTTGTTTTCTACAGAGTTGTCACTTTTCTAAGAAACACATCACTGGGGTGACCTCTGGGACAAGGCCAAGGCTCATGAGACAGGAGTGCAGGAGAGGAGAGTCTCCTGTGACCTGTTGCCTTGGCTTCTTTCTTTAACCATTCTGCCCTGTACTACAGCACCAAGTGCAACTGGTTGCCTTTCACCACAGAACTGTAGTTAAGACTCACCAGCGTTAAGTATATTTTCTTAATAAAAAACAGTGAACAGTCTGATAGGAAAAACAGGGCGTAACAACAATGATTTACCTTCCTGCCAGGGTAAATAAAATAATGACACACCGAGCCCAGCAACACCAGAATCACACAGTCCCAGCACCTCTCATTTATTTGACGAGTCTTGTGCATTTTTTTTCTGCTTAATCTGGTGGGGGGGGTCAGTAGGCACGGCAACATATAGTTGGCTACTTTCTATAGTAGGCATGGCAACACCTTGAACCATCGCCGGGGTGGTGGGGGGTCAGTAGGCACAGCAACGGTCTTGAACCATCACTGGGGGGGGGGGGAATGAGACCCCAAGTACCCAGCGCACAGCGAGGCCTCACTGCAGCTCAAGACCGGGGGGAAAAGTCCAGCTTGAGATTCTGTTTGTTGGATTTTTGTTTTCCTCCTTTCCCGTTACGTCTTTAATGTCGCGGGCAACCTGAGAGGAGCGGCGGTACAGCTAATCCCGCGGCCTCACCTTCAGGCTGCCTCATCCGCGATCAGAAGCCGTGGTGATTAGCTTTCACTCACACACCCCCCCTCGAGCAAACGGGCTCTTCAGGCTCCTTTCTGGCAGAGTCAGGCAAGACCGGTCCAAAAAGGCAGAAACACAATCGTGCTGGCATTTAACTCCAGGTGGGGGCTGCACACTGGAGGGCGTGGAGGGGATCCCCATTACCTGTAAAGTGCTTTAAGTGGAGTGTCCAGATTACCGCTATATACTGTACGTGTAAGCAAGTATTATTATGAACTCCCTCCACTGCAAGTCAGTATGTTCTGGGGTTTGTCACAGTGTGCTGAGTGGGGCTTTGCTAATTGGTTACGGAAACCCAGTGCGCTCTCAGATTCTGGTTATGAACTTCCATGCCTAATTCTTTCAGCTGTCGGTGCCACAGAAGAACAAAGCAAATGGGGAGGAAACACAGGGGTAGCATCTCTAAGGACAAACACACAAGCTCATTACTTGGAGCACTGACTTAACCAAGCGTGTAAATATATATATATTTTTTTACTGTCACCTGCCTCCTTTACAGACAGCTCTCAAACTACTGTGTATCTCACCCATTGTGATGACAGTGTATTTAATGTTAACGCTCACAGTGTGCTTTATCTCCTGTTATCATTCTTATTCTTGATGGTTAATAGGCGCACCCACAATGGGAGGAAAAAACACAGTAAAATGGCATAAAAAATGTGATCTCTACCCCTATCTGGCATCTCCATCACTCTCTCTGGCACTTTGCAGTATCTGTGATGCAGCTAACTGCTGCTCTCTAGTGGTTCATCAGACTAACTGCACACAGTGAAATATTTCTGCCAGTAAAAAACAAATTTCTGTAGGATTAATCTAACCTTAGCCATCAAGAGCCCATTTGATGGTATCTTGCTCTTACATTCTGTTGCATAACAAGCCTGCTCTATGTACTAGGTATAGTTAGTATTTGGAACTCAAAGTGTGCTTTTTACTGCAGGTTTATCTTAGAATGCTGATAGGTGAAGACCCTTTTAAAGAAAGAGTTAATTTTTTGTAATACTTCCCTGCCTATAAATTGGACAGAATGTGTTGAGGGCTTACTTCTTGTTTCAATTTCTGTTTCTTCCCTTTAAAGCTCACCACTGCTACCCCACGCCTACGAGTGACCGTCGGCTGACCATTCAGGAGGTGGGTCTGGGCAGCAGAGAGACTCACCCTTTGCTGAACTTCTTAAAAGGTGGCCGGATGACACTGCGGCTCTTGATGACACAGTGACGCCCCACCCGGACGTTAGCGAGGTCCCCCCTGATGATGCAGTCATTCATCACGATAGTCTAGGGACAGAGAGACAGACAGACGGGGAGGGGGAGAAAGAGAGAGTCAGCAATCTATATTTTAATTCAAACACACAACTGCAGGATACAACCTTGGGAAAGGCCTTGAGTCAGATGTCAACATTACTGCAGCCCTAGTACAACTATCTTATTTTACTGTACACTTCACTTCTCTACAGATCATCACTGGCACAACTGCTCACACAGCGAGCACAAACTCCAAGGCACCACTGCGTCTGGAGAGGCCAATATTGCTATTTTGATTTAAGAAATTACGTTAAATGACACGTCTTCTTTCTTTCCCCTTCACTACAATACACAGGACTCAAACCCAGTTTGTGGGAAAACTAGTGTTTTCTATTTTTTGTTCCACCCTAAGTAATCAATCAAACACTTATTTTCTAAATAAGGCGTATATATATGATTATTCTTAAGGTCTTGTAGAGATTCGAGATTTTTTATTTGCCATATACAACAAGTGTATTGGAATGCTTAGTCATTCAGCTGTACCCAGTAACAGTGGAGAAAAACAAATGACAAACGGATATGGACAATAAATTTTCGACAATAGACGTTATAATACAGGCAAGACAGGACATAGTGCAAACAGTGCAGTACCTTAAAGTGCAGGTGCTAATTTGAGCTGTTTCTGATGTGGACTGCTTGGGGGAAGGAACTGTTTTTGAATCTACTGGTCAGTGTTCTGATACCGCCATACCTCCTATCAGAACCTGATGGGTGGCCAGGGTGAATTGTGCCCCGAAGTATAATAATAATAATTCATAATTGCTTACACTTATATAGCGCTTTTCTGGACACTCCACTCAAAGCGCTTTACAGGTAATGGGGATCCCCTCCACCACCACCAGTGTGCAGCCCCACCTGAATGATGTGACGGCAGCCATAGTGCGCCAGTACGTTCCCACACACCAGCTCTCAGTGGGGAGGAGAGCAGAGTGATGAAGCCAATTCAGAGATGGGGATTATTAGAAGGCCATGATTGGTAAGGGCCAATGGGAAATTTGGCCAGGACGCCAGGGTTACACCCCTACTCTTTTCAAGAAACGCCCTGGGATTTTTAATGACCACAGAGAGTCAGGACCTCGGTTTTACATCTCATCCGAAGGACGGCGCCTGTTTACAGTATAGTGTCCCCTTCACTATACTGGGGCATTAGGACCTACGTGGACCGCAGGGTGAGCGCCCCCTGCTGGCCCCACTAACACCTCTTCCAGCAGCAACCTTCGTTTTTCCCAGGAGGTCTCCCATCTGGGTACTGACCAGGCAGGTAATTAGGTAGACCAGAGTGTAACTGGAAACATGGGTGGAACAAAAGCAAGAAAATGGCAGGCCCTCCAGAAGTCTGAGTTTGAGAGTCCTGCTATAATAATAATCTGAAGCAATACAGTAAAAAGGAGTTAAAAAGAGAGTAATATGCATATAAACAGTCAGCCTGTTTGTGGCTGAATACTTTTCACTGACCTGCAGACCAGGAACATATAGTACTCGAGTAGTTTTTTATTCCATCCCTGTATTTATTTATGTGGGTAAAAATCAATCCAGTTTTTGTATGTCTAAATCAGTTCTTATCAAGAACAACTGCCGGACTCCCCTCCTCAAAGACTGAAATTGCCTGTCCCCATCACGGGATGAGCAACCCACTGTTCCCAATACAGCTGGGGTTCCCAGTGCTGCTCCTGGCCACCCCACACCTGCTGGTTTCCATCGCAGCCCAGCTCTGTTCTTAAACGACTCCTTAACGGAAACGAACAAGTTGCTCGTTTGGAAGCATTGCAAGTTTTTTTTCTTTTCTAAAAAGGTTAGAGATCTTACCTCACTTCTGAAATGCACTAGTTAAAAGGCCACCTCCGACGTGCTTAGGAACTGAGTTACAATTAGGGAGTTCAAAATAAACTGACTATCGGGGCGATAAAGGATTCAATTATTTGAGTGCTCATGTGGAAGAAAAGCCAGCGGGTGTGCAGCTTCCCAGGACTGGAAACCCCTGCAGCAGAGGATGCTGAGCAACTCCACACACACGGGTGCTGTCGGTCCCCCCTAAATCGTCAATATCAAGACGCCTGGAACATTTTTATTGTTATCGCTGTAATAGGCAAGGCTGTTCAATTAGCTAGTTCAGAGATGTTTGAAATGAAACCACCAACGCCCTATAACTCAAAGACCACAGCCCTGAACCGAGTGACTTGCTCAGTTGCCCAAACCTCCCGAGTTTCCAGTCTACGCACACAGCAGATTTAAATGTGACGCCGGAGTGCGACTGTAAGACCAGAGCTGATTAACGGGCTGTGGGTCAACGAGAGATGGAAATATTCCATGGATTGAGAAAATACAATAGCACGATTACTCACTTTGCCGTTCAGCACGATGTTCTGACTCCCACACAGAACGGACTGCCGGCTCACCTTGTTCCCGGACGCCTGCCAGACAATTCAGACCAAGCGATTACGGATTTAGCTTACAAGAAAGAAAACGCCAGACCCCTGCTTACATTTAGTGTATTTCTTCAAACATCTTTTTTTAAAAAATCTTTACACATCATCTTTTATTGGTTTTACATTCTGTATATGTTAATGTATTCTCTGGACTGGACGGTTTTTCGCATTCATTTTCAACCAGATAAACACTTAATCGTATATTGTAAGCGTCTAGTTAGCATAATATGCAAAGGCAAACAGTACCGTTTCAATGTACTCGGCTTTGTTGTACAGTATTTCACACAGCTCCATGGCAGAACAATTGCTAATAGTAATAAAAGTGAAAACCGGGTCGGCGCTGTGTTTTGGTTGATCCACTCCCTGCTTCCGCTCTCTTCCGGAAACGCACTACGGCACCCAGCCAGGCAGAGGGAGCCGAGCACCGATTCCTCTTCCTGCAGACACACGAAAACACCTCTTCGTCTTTTTAGTGCATCAACATGCCATGACAGTTTCAGGGTATCTTCTAGGTGGCTTAACGTCTGTCTGCCTCTGACAGGATCCAAAAAGCAAGCGCTTCAACTTGCCAGCTGTGTCCGTCAGTGATTAGTATGGCCTTGCCGGTGAAGTTGCGGGAATGTGCTCAAACATTAAAACCCGTCAAAACCTTTCACGCGGCTTGCGGGATGCCGAAAGATCATTAAAAGTCGTCCCGTTATGTGGACTATACAGTTTTAGACAGCCGAATGTCTCGATGACATTTTTTGACGAGACGAGCCCGGTGAGCTGAGGCAGTTGCGTTTTAACTCGTCGTCTCCTCCATGGTCGAGTACTGGACTCTTTTAGTGTTTAGTTTGACAAAATCAGACTTGTCATTTTGTCCCAAAACGACCGCTGCGCCGGTAAGTCGTGGCACCCTGCGTTTGCGAAAGCTGTTTTGTGTGGTGAAATATTTCATCTGCTTAACGGGGACATCTAAATCAATGTATGAGAAGGCGGACCTGTCCTCTGAGTTGTGTCCTTTGATGTGTTTCCCGTCAGTGAGGAGTCTCTGTCGCACTGTCGGCGGTCTCAGGATGGACAGAAGCCGGACCGCAGCGGTGATCTCCAGCGACAAGGAGGAGGTCTGTGTTTCGTCTTTCTGGACGTTTGAACACGGTGGAACACCGTCTCTGGCACTGCACACTGTCTGACGTGCCATTCAGCACAAGGCACTTTATGATTTACTATTGGATGCGGTCCGTGTTGCAGAATCAGTTACCAATGTGGAAGTAACGATGGTACAGAAGGAATCAAATGCCGGGGTTGTCAAACTTAAGTCCTTTGTGCCTTCTGGTTAATCAAAGTTAAAAAGGTAGCAAGTGTAAGAGCTGAAAACAGGCAAAGAGGTGAAAGTAACCCTATTACTAAGTCAGTCAAGGGTTAAGCTTGGGGTCAGAGTGCAGGGCAGTCATTTAATCAGCACCCCCTGGAGCAGTCGGGGTTAAGGGCCTTGCTCAGGGGCCCAACAGAGTAGGATTCCTCTGCTGGCTGTGGGATTTGAACCAGCAACCTTCCAGCCACAGGCGCAGATCCTGAGCCACAGAGCCACCACTCACCGATAGCCTGCAGAACCAGGACAGGGCAGCCCCTGTGGTCCACTGGGGACAGGGACAACCCAGCAACTTGTCTGTCTTTCCCAGTAGCGTTGCTGGAAGAGCAGGAGGTGATTGGAGAGAAAGCCTTGGGTGGTCATTCAGCCCCTTTTGGAGTTAGTAGCTAGCTGAACCAAGGGTCTCATCCAACTGTTTCCCAAAAGACGGCAGGGTATTAGCTTCAATGGCTTCAGAAACGCGGTCCATACTCACACATCCCGAAAAACCATGTTTTTTCCTATCGGGGAATCGAACCCTGGTCTCCCGCACGAGAGGCAGGAATACGTACCAGTAGAAACAGTAGAAACAAGTAGGGAGAATGGTATTCTGTGTATTTTTAACTCTGCAGATTTCCTTTTGTTTGTAACGTCTAATTGGACTTTATGTGTCTTGTAGCTGAAGGAAAGACTGGCTTTGCTTAAGAAGGAGTACCTCAGGACTGTCCAGAGACTGCAGGTGAGCAACGCCGCTGGCTGACAGCTTCACGCGCTGAAACGGACGCTGAAACAGCAGGGGTGTTTTTCGTCTCGGGGAATTTGAACTAAAGCTTCAGTGCGTGATGGCCGCTAGGTGTGTTTGTGTCACTGCTCTGACCCCTCTGACAGTGAGAGGACAGACAGCCCGTGCCTGATTAATCCTAACGGGCTCTGTGATCTCCCTGCAGCGCGCGGAGCGATCCCAGGTGGTCTGGCGGCACGAGAGGAGCGGAATCGCGGAGCAGTACCGCCCGCCTCAGGAAGAACCGGGCTCAGCCCAGCAGTCCTCTTGCTCGGGTGAGTTTCTCCCAGGATCGATATGCTGCTGGCCGGTCAGGCCCCAGATGCAAACACCAGTCAATCAAAGTAGTTCAACAAA